ATTATTAGTTGGGGCTGTTATAATTGCTGTTGATATTATTGATGACACCATTACACCAGTGGGTGTTGCTATTATTATTGTCATTAACAACCAGGTTGATAGAACAGATTATACTTATGTAATTATGTTTGGATTTGGAGATAGTAATAATAATATGTTTTTTCAGGTAAGCCAAAAATAGCACTATATATCAAGCGTCCCTCCAGAGGGTTAGGGTTAGAGAGCATACAGTCAAAGTGTTAAATTAAAGGGGTTCTGCCTCCATTTCTACTTTTCCTCATTAAATGTTTGTTTGGTTCAGGAAAAAACTTGTGCTCCTGTTTGTAAGTTGGATAAGAAGGAGCTTTAGCAGGAGAGCTAATGTGTGTTATATCAATGCATTTAGTCTGCAAAGTTGGTCAGCCTAAGAAGTTGTGACACTCGGGGGACCCCTCGTCTTTGAATGATAATGAATGTTGATGAATTTTGCATTAACAGTAAACCTGGTCTCACTCAGAACACTTAATGATTTTCTAATGTAAGTTGCTAATGTTAAGAACAACAATTTATGTAAAAATATAGCTACACTTATTGTATTGTAAAGTATCAATAGGTAACAGGATAATGTTATTAACATGATCTTAATTGTATCAAGAATGACCTAAGCTCTTCTCTGACATATGCTGTCAATGCCTGAGTGCACAAATCTCGATCATCTTTCTTCAACTTTGCAAACTTGGGTCCAACCTTGTTGTTAGATACTGCCCCCTTTAGGCTCTGTACAAGAAATTCAAAGAGTTTTCACATCTACTGTAGGACATTCAAATATTTTAGACATATTTCCCATCAATTGATTAAACAAATTATTGCACACAGAGTTTAGAATTAAAAAGGAAACATTTCAAGCTTATTGGAACAAAATGGAGACTGACAAGATGAGCATCATCTATCCAACATTGTTTTCTTGAAAACCGTTATGCAATGATAAGAAAAGTTTGACAAACTTGATAATACTTCAATATAAAACAAGATCACACAAATTTGCTGTTATGCTGCTTTGGGTAAAGTATAATACAGTTGTTGCTGTTATTTCAGTCAATGTAAATTTGTCTGAGAGCAGAGTAACATGTTTGCATTAAAATCCTGATAAAAGAACATATAAGCCAACAGCAATGCAAGCAGTGTATATTTTCAGTCACTAATCATATTGATATACAAATGAGAACATATTTGTAACTGAATCATGAGACTGAATAAGAAGTCACCTGGAGTTCTGGAAAAGAGTGGATAAGACAAGACGTGACTTGTCTTGAAGTAAAATAGTCCTTCAGGCTTATGGGGAAGTGAAAGGTGTGTTTACAACCCTAGCACAGCTGAGTGCTCTTTGTTTTCTCCATGTGTGAGAGAGAAACAGTGTGAGTGGTAATTTTTTAAAACAAGAAATCATCATTAGACTGGCCTTTGCTTTTTTTTCTCCCCACTCGTACACCCTCTGAGCTTTGATCAGTTAAACAAAGTTGGCCAAAAGGCAGAAACAGACAGACTGTGGTGAGGAGATGAAACCGGCAGAGATCGGGCTAAAGTGGAGATAGAGTTAAATGGGTCAGTGGACATAAACCCTCAGATTATAAGGAACATTGCTCTCCTCTCACACAGGATCCACGAAACAACTGATTCAGTGGCTGGAAAATAACAACATCTTACAATCCTTCTGGTCCAATGAAATGAAATGTTGATCAGAAACACTTGGCCACTATAACATGTAAGGAGCACAGCTGCCTTATTGACATTTCTAATATAAAACTGTGTGGCGTAACATGAACTCTAAGCTATTATCCTTTATGATTGCTAAAGTCACCCATTTTAAGTTGGATTTATCAAGAGTTTATAAATTGAAACAAATAACAAAAATAATAAGTAACAAAAGTAATTCTTCACAGATCAGGTATAAGGCCTAATGTTTTGTGGATAGTCGTAATGTGAAAAATCCCATTGTGAGAGTGATAAGCATGTATCTGATCTCAATCTCAATCTCAATCTTATCAATTTATTCAGCATTGTTTCCCAACCTGGCAACTAAACATTTGCTCTCACGGAATTTATCAACCATTGGTTGTAATGTATGTGTTAACAAATCAGTATTCAAATAAAAAAAAACAGAACTGGGTCAGTTCCAATAATTGGTATGTAGCTAATCTTTATTGCTGAAACTGAAATCTGTGAACTATCCTGGATTTGTATACATATGCAAAAAGTATGGCTGGGCAATAACATCTTAGAGATAATCATTGCAATATAATTTTCATCAATAGCAACATAATAAAAGCCCATTAAATAAATATATAATGTTTAAGCATTGTGTGAACACAGTAATGAGATATAACACATTATTGATCTACCTCAGATGTGTGTAATGTTTTGCTGTTCATCATGTTTGTTATCCTCTGCTCATGAAGAAGAGTTTGAATCCACAACCGCTACTCATGAGCAGAATTCAAACTTTAAAGAAATACGATAGTTATTGTGCTAACTATGTTGCCTGATATGAATTCTTGGTATCATTTTTGACCATATCGCCCCCACTATGGCAGAAAGTCTTGACCTTTGACACTGAAATCACTCTCTGACCGAGAAGAATGCACCTGGTTTACAATCTAAAGAACAAGAAAACAAACATTTACAAGATAAAGATTGACTAGTTAGTATCTGTGTGCTTTCATGCAACCCACAAACACACACACACACACACACAGACCAAAAGAAAAGTCACCGTTCTCCGCATCCAATACCCAAGAATGACATCTCTTCACTGGCTTCAAATGTCTGTCAGTCATTGTGCAGGTCCAAACATGCACATTTAACACTTTTCACACGTTAAGGTTGATGCATAGTCTATGTATGGTGTGTTTGTAATGTGTGTTTTTATATACACTCGAAGGCTGACAAGCATATGTCACTGCAGGAAGAAGAAAACATCTCAGTTAAGGTCTCGTAACTTCTTCCCAGTCTCTTTGGCGTTTTTGCAGCTGTACAGCCACTTGATAATCCGTGCGTTGCGCTCGATAACCGACGTCCCCTGCCGCATGTTGACGTGCAGCTCCTCCTGCAGCAGCCCGTCGCTGTCCCCGCTGCTCCTGGAGAAGCCTCCTTCCGACGTGGACACGCTCACGCTGCGGATGTTTTTAGAGATCTCGTCCGAGCGCGCAGAGAAGTTCTCCCGCCCCAGGGACTCGACGATCTCGCCATCCAGCCCGCAGTACTTGAAGAAAGCGTCGAAGTCCGCGAAGTTCTTGGAGTACCTGGAGCTGATGTCCGAGTGGGAGCGACCCACACTCCTGCCGGACCTCCTCTCAAACTCGGGGACTGCGAGCAGAGCAGCTGTCACCTTTGTCCCAGACTCGACCCGCCTCCTCCACTGCTGCTCTCCGGGCGCGCCGCTCTCCTCAGGTGTGGCGGTGCCTGATTCCTTATCCCCCTCAGACTCACGCTCATTAAGTAACGGGGCATTTTTATTCACAGTGTTGTTCACCAGTAGTTTACGTGTCATACGGTGTTTCCTGTCTTTTGCTGCACCTCCCAGGAGCTCACATTTCTGCCTGTAGAGCAGCAGAGAGTCCGGGCGCTTTTTGGAGCTGGTGCGCCTTACCTGTCCCGGTGAGCAGCTTTTCACAACACCACCTCCTGCTAGAACATTCCCTCCACGGTTCGAGCTGCGGTTTGAAGACCCCGTGCTGCTCACTGAAGCTGACCCCAGACTGATCGCAGGCTCCTGGATGGAGTTGACCACCTGCTGGCTCTTCACATACTTGGGTTTGGTCGCAGCCAACCTCTCCACTGCGCTCATGCGTCCTTTGGTCTCCCCCTCCAGCTCCATTTGCTTTCGAAGGTACTCGGGACCCTTCTCCAGGATTTTTGTGGTCTCACTGGTGGCCTCCATTGCGACATTTAACTCAGACATTTTCAATAATCCCTCAGTGTGCAGCCTCTCGAGCGTTGGAGGAAGGAAAAAAAGATTCCATTCAAGCCCGCTCCTTGCCCGAGCATGTATCATAACTGATTTCACCTTGTCTGTGCAAACACACACCACATTACCCCACCCATCCTGTGCAAGGCCAGGCCAAACACAAGTCTGCTCAAAGTACACCTGACACTATCACAAGTGAGAGCAATGGAAGCTGACACTGCTGCCTTGTGCTTCCCTCTCCTGCCCTGAAGGAAATGTGGATTTAATTTCCTTGTTGCTCAATACAGGATAACACACAGCTTTATCTAATAAATCTATATCTCCTTTAACAAATCATTTACCCCAGAAACTGGCCCACTCCTTCCAATAATGTTGCACAGTAAATGTTTCTCCCAGCCTATTCATCTTCAAATCATCCACAGTGAGGGATTTGTCACTGCCACTGTTAAAGCAAATAAAACAATTTTGTGGAGATGTAGGCCTATATTCAAAAAATCCATTACTCGACAAATACTGTAGTGAACCAGGTATATTGTATATTCTCTATTAAATATCTTATAAAATTCTGTTTCATTGCCTATTTTATTCTATCATTTATTTTCACTTGTTTTTTTTTTTGTCTCCCTCATTTTAACTATCTGTAGCTGGAATGAGTGAATTGCACTTATTTGCGACCAATAAAGCTAAATTAGCTTACCTTATATTCTCAGCCCTTAAATATTGTACTGCCTTTATTTTAAGGTTTAATTGGATCCTAAAATTTATACAAAGCACTCATAAAACACTGTACCTTCATTTTCAGGTCATGACCTAATATCTTTATTAATACCTCACAGATTCCGACACATCCCACATGCTTGTTAAAATAACGACCAACAAAATAAAAACTAGGAATAGTTTTGTATTGTGTAATGTGTTGTTGGGCTCTTCAGGTATAGTGCACTCACACATTTATGAGCATCTGCACACAAACATTTACACTGCCAGTGCTTTGCCAGTCATGACGAAACCCATTTGAGTTAATTTCTGGATGTGCGTCAGTCTGCTGAAACCATTAAACCCTAAAAAAATTGGGTCTGCTTTCACTAAATATCCTGTTATTAGTATTTGATGCCTATTTTACTTTTTTTTTCATCTGTGCACAATAATAGGAAAGTACAATTCAGATATCGGCATGTTTGTTTTTGAAGTGTGCAAAGATACAAAAGCTTTCGAGAGAAGTGAAAGACGGTGTTGTTGCCTTGTTTATACAGTATATCATGTCTTCAGTGTATTTTGACAGTGCAAGGATGATGGGTATAAGGTGTATTCCCTCTGGAACGGCACTTCCTATATCAATGTGTTTATTCAGATATGACAACCAGTGTTGGAAATGATCGCCCCCTCTGGAAGGGACTTTATTATACTTAATTAACAACATTAGAAGTAACTACAGCATGACCTAGTAATTTGGGATAAATATACCAGTTTGGTTGTGTGTTTATGTGTGTGTGTGGTTGCCAAAATAGAAGGCATCAGGAGTGTGAATCAATGTATGCCTGTACACATTCATCTGAAACTACAAAAATCTAAAGCATTGACACAGTATTCAGAAAGTATGTCGAAACCCCTCTTGGTTCGTCATGGCTGCAAGATCAAGGTTTGAATGCGATGGATCGAAATTAAAGAAAGAAATTGCAAATCCCATCGTAAAAATTAAAGGGTAACAACTGAATCCCTGTTCTCTGCTTCCTCGTGTAATTGCAAACATTCACTGAACTGGAATCCAAAACATCTGTTGATAAACTGAACCCTTAAGTTACCAGTCACCGGGTTTACTCCCTCAAAAGGCAGAGGGCAGCACGAGAATACACCCTGTGAGAGTCATTAGGCTGAAGTATTACGTGCCTTTGGCTTAATTACCTTCCGAGACTGAATCAGATTCAAATCCTCACTTACTCTCTTTTAGGAGTAAACACCACATACTGAATGTGTTACTGCAATCACCCAGCAACAGAAAATGAGCCATCTTTGTTATCTTTCTACTTGTTAGTTTAACGGAGGACTGACAGGGAAATCAATGACCTGAAGACCTTTTTATTGATTCCTCTTAAATCATTTAAGTGGACTCATATTTTTTAGCTCGTACATAATCATCATACCACATCTGGGTTTCGTGTTGATTGCTTTTTTTCAGCCATGTGATTTCTTTTGACTGGCTTCCCTAAAATCAGCCCGAACAGCTCGTTTGGGGATTCAGCAGTGTTTGTTTATACTTTATCCTTCCTTGATCTCTGCTTCAAGTAAGCCATGTTGTCCTCAAAATGAGTTCTTACATTTTGAGGTCTGATGCAGTTGAAGTCTGGCGCATGCAGGAGGTGTCACTATGATTAATGACCCTTCACAGCCATGACAAGGTTAAAAGGCTATAAAAGGATTGGGAACATGAGGTGGACATGGAGGTTGTGATGCAAATAATTGTATATATAATTGGCCAATACAAATATTACATTTTTAAGAAGTAACAAATTAATTAAATGCCTAATTTTACATGATTAACCCACAGAGAATTATGCAACTCTCCTGCCACTATGATCTTTATGGACTTCATAGTCTATTTCAGCTCATTGTTTTGATTTTACAACTTAAATACCTCCGCTCTCACAAGTTTCATTTTCAGCCACAGCAGCTAAATAGCTATTAAAATCAACTGTGCACCACCTGCCAAGCACCACACAGCAGACAAACAATGTTAACAACTCACTGGCAAACATCTTGGAGCATTTAGCAGGTTCGGGATCAAATATTTCTCTCAGTGGGTGGAGACCAAATATTAAGGTAAAAGGTCACAAATGATTGGATTTACTTTCCTCAGGTCAAATCATGACTACAAATAAATAGTTTTGTCTCAATCTGTTAATAAAGATTTTTTGGGGGCATTTACGTCTTTATTGACAGTCTAAGGGTGAAATGAGGAGGACACGCAGCAAAGGGCTTGGTCAGGACTAAACTTCTATTGCAGGAGGGCTCAAGCCTCCGCACACGGAGCACCCACCCAACAAGGTGAGCAAGTAGGAGCTCCCAAGCAAGTTTCTTGAAACACCACACAGTACCGCATAGATAGATTATCAGTGGTGAGCCAGTCCCTGGCTTGTGTCCATATTGTGTGTTACTCCATGGATCACCCCTTTTCCAAAGCTACCGTGGAGACTGAGAGCTTGTAGTAGTGACTGCCCTGATATTCAGCCTTCTTGCACTGGGCCTTCTATCTAGTCTTCCCAGGCCACAGGAAGTTCCAGCTTCACAACTAATGAGACATAAACTAAACATATGTAGATCTAATTAAATACACACACACACACAGTTATTTGGCTTAGTGTTGCAAGCAGACTTCAACAACTCCTGTCACATCTTTAGAAATAAGACATTGGACCTGACACTAAACACATTGGCTGTGTTTACAGTCGTTCTGCATGGTGTCTGACTGATTGGTGAAATCTGCTTGATAAGAAAAAGAGAAATAGAGCAGAGACAGAGGGGAGCATAGCAAAACATTAAACACTGACACCATAAATCACTTTATCCAATGAGCCTTCTCACTTTTATGTAATTCTTGACTTATTCCGCTGAGACTAAGAGAAACACATTCTACACTTTAATGCAGGACTGCATCATTTGTTAATTGTGTTTTTACTGATTCATTCACAATAATTACCGACCATCCTCGAGACGTGAATGAAAGTGGCTGACTCAAATAAAACATAGATTGCACATTATTATGTATAATTGCTGCAGGCATCTTTTACTTGCAGCTATTGTTTAAATGTTATGTAAAGTAAGCAATAATTGGTAATTATGCATTCAGCGCTAATTTCCAGGAATATAAGGTCACTATCACCTCCCACTTAGTTAGTCGGGGGCTATTTATCAGAGGCTCATCTTGCTATATTTTTGAACACAACTGTTTCATTTCATTAATATCTAATTTGCATTCACTTCATTTTGTTGTTATTTTTTTTGTCTCAGGACAGAAACCAACATGAAGAGAATATATTTTATTAAATGAGCAATAGACATAACATGGTGCAGAAATTCAAAGCTACATGGATCAACATTTTCATTCTCACAATTGATCAAATAATAATGTTGAGTGCAGTGTTCTTTAGCTCCACCAAGCTTTGTCTCGCAGCTCATTTTTTCAGTGTTACACACCTTAGCTTAACTGCTTTGTTTTCCTCTCCCTGCTATCATCATCATATGTTTTCATTTCCAACTGGCGGCTGGTTTTGGTTAAGAAGCTCTTATAATCCCACTGTGCGCTACCAGACCAGCACCAAACAGCAGACAAAGCAAGCGACTACATGGTGAAGAGCCAGATATTTGCCTCATGAGTTCGAGGTAATTTAAAACAGAGCTACGATGGAGTGAACATTGGACTCAAGTACGAGCTGGGAGGGTCGTCCATACCTATTTGTCTACCTGGCACAGTCTCCCTCGCAAGCTCGTGTTCAGCTGGTGTTATATCCCACTTGCTAGCACGGAAAGGTCCACTCCAGTCCAAAAGACATAAATGTCATCATCTGAGGGTTTACAATAGACTACATATAAAGATGGACAACTCATCTCCACTTGCTCCCGCTATTCAGAAAGGAAGCCAATATAGACTGGATATGAACGCCGCCATCTTGCGCATTTGAAGCCAGAGTTTGTACAGTGATGATTGGGGGATAGAGCCACACGTTTTATAGCATCAAATAACTATTTGCAACCAATTTTACTGGTTAGATGGAACATACACCAGTGTGATAAGACATATAACAAAGGGAGTAAAACTGAGGACTTATACTTTCTGCATCTGAAAGTATGAGAACTTCCACCGGAGTCTGTGTGTTGTTAAATTTGAAATCAGGTGGGCTCCATATATCCCTCATAATTAACCTCCAATTATTTTTATAATTAGTTGCAATATCCAGCCAATAAAACATTATTTTCCCGCACAACCGAAATGTTAAAAAGTTTTTAGATGTTTTAAAATTATTAAGAATGTTACACCAGAGAATGTATATATATGCACTCTATATACACCTGCTTATTGTAAATCTGCATTAATGCACTTGGTTTTCTTTCCTCCAAGTTTGTGATCACACTAAACAGTGATGTCATAGTGCACTGACACACTTGTGCATCCTTGCTGCATAAAACAAACTGTTATAGTAGTTTAATTGAATATAAAAGCTCCCTAATGAAGATAACACAAGCTGATTGTTTGAATATTGATTGTTCGGATGGTCTGGTGTAAACAATAGTTAAACTAATTAAAACAGGCCCATTATTATCATTTCAGTTTATTTTGTATATAAATACGACAATCCCAATTTTGTGGATGTATAAATTCTGCAGCTTAATAAGCATAAACACAAGTGCAGTTTCTTTGAAAATACAGCTGCTCTGCTTTTTTCCCCTGATCATATTGAGATGATTAAAATCTTTCACTGTGTTGAGACATTGCAACACATCAGGGATACAATCAGTTGCATTACTTAAGCAGAAACAAACTTTCTCATTAATTAAAGCCATACTTGAAGGAACAAAGAAATATCTGAAGTCTAGAGTTATTATACATCGTAATGAAATCCTACATGTTAAACCATAGTAGCCCTTGATTTCATAACAGTTGGTACTACATTTGTCTTTGCTAATATACAGTATATCTATGTCCTGGACCATGTCATGCATAGATAGTTGTGCTGTCACTAACAACCTCCTCTATTCACATCTGCAACTGTGAGCACAACCAAAACATGCTATTTTCTTCCAACTAATATTGCCCAGATTATAACGCTTACATTTAAAACAAATCCTTGCACGAATAAAAGACTTTGAGTGAATATTAAGCCAATGTTATTAAATGGAAGCATACCCTGTAGCCAATTGGATTTTCTGTAGAACATCTGTAACATCCATCGCTCAAATGCTTCATATGTGGGGAAGATGAAAAGCAAACTGTGGGATGTCAGAAAAGGGGAATGGTTGTAATTGACTACATATCAAAGCAGCAAAACAAGAGGCCAAAAGTCATGAGCTGATGTGGTTTTCACTAATCAAGACGAGTAAAGATTTACTGCAAACTCTTTATGCTTGATTTATTACGATATCCATCCATTTATCCATCCATTATCTATACAGCTTATCCTTTGAGGGTCACGACGGGTGGGGTGGGGCAATCCAACCTCACATTGGGAGGAGGAGTATGGGTCTCTGGTCCATTACAGGCCGAACAATGAGTCTCGCTCACAGTCACAACTACAACATCTAATAACTAATTAAAATAGAACTTAGTGAACTATTGATCATACTTTAATTTGATAACAACAACCTGAAATGACAGACACTATATTTTTGGGTTGTTCAACACATTCATGTGTCCACTTTAGTGCATGAGACACTCTCCTGGCAACCGTTGGACCTCCCCATTTTATTTAAGCAGTGACGTAAACATAAAATGCAATGAAAATACGTTGTTTATGTCTCTGAGGGATGTGTTGACTGATTCCATGTAGTTTTATTTTGAGAAAATCTGTTCACTGCTTGGCCCAGATGACAGTGCTGAGCCCAGTGCGTAAAAAGGCTTAGAGAACATGAGCTTAGTAATGGGTTTAAGTTATGACAGGGATGAAAACTCTCTCATTTACTGGCTGTCTCACTTGATTTGTTAGATTTTTCAGAACAGTTAAGACAGCCATTAAAAACATGGAACCGATCCTCCAAAAGCAGCTCAGCTTCCTTTATTTTAATGTAACACTAATCTTTCTTTTTAGACAAGTTCATAGAAAACCACAGACACGTTCTTTAAAGTTTTGATGTGCAAGGTGTTATATTTCTTCCTTTCTTATGTCTATTTTTCGCCAAAAAGCATTATACAAGTATGATGCAACATGCAGGAGGATTGGTTAATACTGCACCGCATATATCCTCAACACTGTCTGGCCCAGTTGGGACAATTGAAGTTCCCTCATATGGATCACAAATCCATCTGTTTCAAGAAATATGCAGACAGATGGACGTACATACAAACTTTGAAAGAGATACTACAAATCCCATAGCTGTCTTTGAGGAGCTAAGGGAGAAATAAAATTCAGCAGTTTGTAGTCTAAATGTACACCTTAATCCTAAATCATAAAATATTCAATATTTCCCATGCCCATCAGACACAGTCATGTCTGGCCTTTCTGTCGGGGTTCAGCTATTTCTTGTTGTTCATCCAGTAGAATTACTCATTCAGATCTGTTTGTTTTATTAGTATGAACTGAGAAAAATGTTTGCACTCGTTTCCATTCACGTCATGAAAGAGAGCTGGCGGTTCGGAGAGGAGCCTGTGCCGAATATCGTTACTTTCTCTGAATCTTCTGCATCTGTATCTCATTGTTAAATGTAAAACTTTTTTTTCTCTTTCCCTCTCTCAGCTCCCCCCTCCACATAATTATACAGAAACAACATCCTCAGACATTCCTCAGAGGCACATCACAGGCAGTGATGATAATTTCAAAAACAAATATTTTCTTAGAAACACACACTCAAACTGTGAGCTTACTGGTGGTTTACAAGTTACATTGTTTTTCTGCTCTCGAGAAGCGCACGCCACTCACAAAGCTTTACATGCACCATCACTTTACGATCCTTCTTTTTAAATAGTCTGTATTTATGTGCAGTACTTTCTCTATCACTCACACACTGCCAGCAAAGTCAGCTCAGTATCTTGCTCAAGGACATTTAGTCACACCTAATGGGAGGGATTGAACGGCTCTGGTTAGGGGACGACCTGCTCTACACTTGAGCACACAATTTGCATTTCGAGTATCTTTGCACAGTCTAGTTCACTCCAGACTCTCTGTTGTGTCTTCCTCATTGGTTCTCATTAAGAATAGTCCTCAGCACCAGTGAATCAGAGGACCCAGGCTAAATACAGCTGCTCACAGAACCATGACACTGTTCAGTTTCTGATCTGGTTTGATCTTGTCTCAGTGCATTGCACCTGGTGATGCTGTTTTTCCAAATTCAGGAGGTGTATTTCTTTGGCTTGTTCTTCTCTGCTGCTTCTCTTCAGTCTTTCTATGCTGCGTGTCTTTCTTTAAGGTTTGAGGGCTGCAGTTAAGGCCATCTGGGATAAAACCCTCTTCTATTTATTCAGTCACCAGGACTTGTTCATGATCATTACAGGTCTAACATAACTATTTCCGTTGTGGCTCCAAGTAACCTCCAGATGTGTGGCTTAGCAGGATGCTGCGGTTGTGTATCCCTCTGATGGACATCACCCCAAGGGTGGTAACACTAAAGCTAAACTTCATTGCTATTCACATTTCCTTTTTATATTGATTTATTTTGGCATTGTAAACACTAACCTATACTTAAAAGATGAGAACATGGAGGACTGAAAGTAAACAGTACACATGTGTAAACAGTTGAGTTGTGTAGAAGTTTGTTTGGCTCCACTTTCTTCAGCGGATGTGGGTTAAACTTTCAGTTTTGGTAAAAATAACGTCACAGCTTCTCCCAGTCTGTCGAGATGTAGACGCCAAGGAGGTTATGTTGTCATCTGTGTTTGTATTTAAACATTTCCTGCAGAGTGTAATGTGGATCTAGTGAGAAGAAGACTTTTGGTCCTTTGCACAGGTATGTGCTCTATAGTGCCATTCTAGTTCTTTGAAATACTGACATAAGTCTGGTTCTATGGGCCGACTAAACACATGAATTTAAAATTCATAAAACCTTTTTTTCAGTTGGCAATTGGGATTTTTCCGTGTCACAGTGAAAGAAAGAGCGTATTTTTTACAACACCTTGTAATCTGTTGTTAAAAATATCTCACTCTCTCTAGGTCCAATACTTTCTCATGACCCCTGTATTCCACACCAGGACTTAGCAAAGCATTATAAGGAATCGGTACGTCTGGAACATTGGGTCTTAACGTCCATGAGGCTCTTACAGTCTAAAGCACGTACTTGCCAGTGTTGCACTATGACATCATAAAAAGTGTGGGGTTGATTAGTCTTGACGGTTGATTTACACTTGTTAATGGTTTGACTGTAGCCAGGTTGTGTCTCTAATTTACATTGTGGGGGGATCAGAGATGCTCTTTCGTGAGAGGATAAAGGTTTATTTTTCTCCCTCTAACTTTAACATTTATTATCAACACTTCAAAGCGGGGGTTGACTAATCTAGCAATAAAATAAAAGTGATTGTTTCAGGCTGGTGAGCCAGATTTGCATATGTTTCTAATCATCACAAATTTGTTCTTTCCTGTCTGGCGAACATATGACTTTTTTATTGACTAGATACCAATGGACTGGTTTGTAAGAGCAAGTCATTGTAACAAGAATGAACCTGTGCAGTCTACAAATTCATACAAGCCAAATAGGTTCACTCTAAATTATACTTTTTATTACTATATTTATCGCTACTATAACTGATTAAGTTGTTTGTACTGCTGTCTTGTTTTCTGAAGAGGTGGGTTTTAAGAAATGTTTTGAAGGTGGACAGTTCAGTGCAGTCTTTCCATTTTCAAGGAAAGAGACTGTTAACATGCAGCACACTGTATGAGTACACCTCCATTATAAAGAGAACGTGTGGCAGAAAGAATGGGACATTAAAAAGAATGGGTGTCATTACTCCACTATACAAAACAGCAAGATAAAAGAAGCATATATGCTGTATACTGTATTTGAGGGAGGAGAGGGGGACATAAGTGTTAGGACGAGACTGAGACACTGTGGAGACCTGCAGACAAAACATCAACAAGTGTGAAACATCATGGAGAGAAAATGTCTGGTGGACAACAGAGAGAGACAACATTCTGCTGCATCACTTCTGATCCCAATGAAGACTCTGCTGAGCCCATTTATTCAACAATTGTTCAAGAAGAACATGGATCACTAGTCACTGCGAACTGTAATTCAATCCCAACCTGACGGGGGCAGCAACGTGCCGCAGGGCAGCCGGTCTGTCGGAAACCTACAAGAAGGCGGCGAAGAAGAAAAGGCGGAAGAGAAAAAGCAAGAAGATGGCAGCCTCTGGCACAAAGTCGGTTTTATTCGTTTGCCTTGGTAAGAGACGTCTTTTCAATCTAACAGAAGCTCATGTTCAAACTGCAAACACATATTTCCCTGTTCACGAATTACTAATGTCGTAGTAATGTGTTAGCGCGCTAACGCCAGTGTTTCAGCTAGCTATGTCGCTCCATTGTTAATTAGCGTCAACATGGAACTAATAAAGTTTATTACTATAAATTATTAAAGTTATTTTGAACCAGCTGTTGTTTGTGAGTGTGTGTGTGGCAGGAACATTACTCAGCATGTTGAGCAGAAACGCTGAGTAACGCTGCTGTGGTTAATTCATCTGATGAGTTAAAAGTTTGGGTCACGTTGTCCCGTAAATGGCCTCATTTTACGACAGGTCCAACCAGGAAGCTGCTGCGAGGTTTTAACTCTGTCAAGAAACGAGCAAAAATACTTTGAAAGAAAAGCATCCGTCCGTATCCGTAATGCGTTTTTAACGCAAAGTATAAATGAGCATAAATACTGTGAACGTTTTGATGATGCAGGAAGTCTGTGTTAAGAGACCACGCTGCCGTAAAGTTTAGTGAAGCAGGTGTAAACAAGGCTGCAGAGATTTCGCCGATGTAAGCTTCTATAATACACACTGAGTTTTGTCAATATGGGCTTTACAAATAAAGTTTGATTGATTGGTTATTGACATGGAATAACAACACTTGAAATGACCACTGACTGCCAGCTCTTGTGATGTATAATGTTATTTGAATCATCTATACTGTAACATGTATGATGGAAGCGACAAATAAACTTGAATCTGGATGTACAAAAAAGTTTCTGGAGTCAGGTTGTGAGAATGAGTGTTGGATATGTTGTTATCTACTTGATGATTCCATGTTTTGTTAATGTAGTTAAAGAGAAAATCAATCTTGTGTTGTGGCTCTTCACTGTGCTCTCAAACTGCATAAGCGTTACATTGATATATTTTGTTATATAGCTATTGAAGAAATTTGTATTGCTATAATCATTGATATTGTTTTATCTTCCAGTCCTAGCCTGGAGACACCTTTTTTGTTGCCAGCTAAGAGAGTTCCCATCCTTGATTTTAGGAACATTGAACACTAATTTTTGTTACTTCCAGTTCAGGGATATATATAGGCTGTCTTGCAGTTATAAACGAGCATTAAAATGTTCATAAGTTTGAAATTGTAGCATTTGTAATTTAGCTGAGCATCTAAGCTTAAAAACTCCCCAAAATAGTCCGAGTTGTATCCAAATGTATCGCTCTAGGTTCATATCCAACATAACATTTTGTTTGTCATTTTGAACAGGCAATATTTGCAGATCGCCTATCGCTGAAGCAGTCTTCAGAAAGATGGCAACAGATGCTGGTGTTGTGGATAAGGTAATGTCATAATTACTTTGTTATTGCATTGTCTAATACCTACATGCATATTTTCTTTTAATCTATCTGTGGAAGTTAGCAACAGGAAGAATACAAAGTGATTAGATTGCACAATCCAAAAAGTTAGACAACCAAACCAGTTCTGTATGTTTGTTGACATTGTTTACATAGTTTCACAATCCTTTTCATCAAGAAAAGGATCATGAATTTACTTGCTTTATCCATCATAAGAAGTATAGACAAACACGACGTGCTGAGGCTTGTATTTATACTGACAAAGCTCAAAGCTACACCTTCAATCTTGTTTTATCAATTGAACTTGATTGACCTTAACCCCCTCCAATTACCTTTTCTTGATGT